CTTTTCTATTGATATTTGTGAACTTACGGTACGTATATGAAGCAGATCTGTCTGCTTTCCATTTCACAGTGTTCCAATGTTCCACCCGCGTTCAGGAATCCGTAAACATGCCAACTTCTACCTCCTCCTCACCGGGAGTTGATGCCGCAGTATGGTGACGTTACATGAACTTCCGGTATGTACGTGAAGCTTCCTAGTTCACCTCCTATTTCACAACTTACCCATACTGCATGTACAATACCCTACCTGTCATATTCCTCATGTGTCATCCGTTACTATGTCCAAAATATCTGCCATGTTCCCGCGGGGATCGCTGTTTCACTCAACACTGACAGGTAGGTTTACGTGGCTTTCCCACAACCTTTCCTTCGATGACCTGCATTGCGGCCGACTGCCCGGTCTCCGCCTGTCCTCAGGCATCCTTATGCTTCCATTTCCGTGGGACATTGGTTCAGTGTCCATTATACATTGGCATCAGGGGGACATGGAGATTTCCCGCTCCATTGAAAGGTGAGCCTCGCCAGCCTTGTGTCCTCCGGCGGTACTCTTGCCCGCCACAATCACAGGTACCTTAGTTCCCCTTCCAGTCATAATTCCCCGCTATAGACTATGAAGCCTCGCACAGCGTCCTCACTGCTTCATAACCGCCACTGTTATCACCCTGTAACCGTTTGACATAGGTACGCACTGCCAACCGATGGCCCAACTAAGTCAGCAGCCCCAAAACTTCGCATATGTAGGGATAGCTTTTTCGTGCACTGTTCTTTTTATAGGATTCGCATGCTTCCCATTACCGCATCTGCTTCACATGTGCACTAGCCCCTTGGTTGACATGCCCCTAACCGCAGGCAAGTGTCCTCCGCCAGTGCTGTTTTCGGGCCACACTAACGGGTAAGTTGTTGCATATTCCCCTTCGACTAACCAGCCATAGACTGCAACTCACCACAATGCCTTCTCTCTGCTTTTCCGGCACCACGTTTATCTCCCCGTTTGCCTGCGACAGAGATCTGATTTCGTTACCCATGCACCATTTTCCTCAACAAACGTATACCTGCCACATGCATGTACCAGTCGTTCCTTCTTCGTTTATTTCATAGGTGTCGCAGGTTACATATCAGTCCTCACCTCAGTTACCTGCAGCCATTGAAAGCTGTGAGATGTATTATCCGACGGTGGTATATAACGCCTCACACACAGGTGAGTTCCGGGGCTTGTCATCAAACCTTTCCTTCATGAGAATGGAATGCACAACACTGTCCTTTCGCCACCTGCCAACCGCGAGACTTAGATATACCTTCCCTGCAAGCTGTCTCGTCCTGCGGAACAGAGGTCCCTGTTATCTCAGCCTCCATGACCTCACTGTACGTACGTGCAGCAACTAATGGTACTTTCCACTTCACTGCGTACTCCTGCTTCATCTGAATGCCCAAATCCGTATCACGCAGCAATTGTCCTCCGTTGTCATGTCAGCAACGTAAGCCATGTGTCTTCTGCCATTCCCATTTCCCGTAACACTCACAGGTATGTCGCCATGCCTACCGACATAGGTCCACAGTGGTAACCGAAAAGTCTGTTTCCCGCGCCTCCATGAACTTCCGGTACGTACCTCAAGCTTATCACTTTACGTTACATTTCACAGCGTACACCTGTGCAACCTGCATTCCGAAAGTCGTCACCATGCCTCATTCGCCATCCGTTGTTATGTAAGCGACGTCAGGCAAGTGTCCTCTTTAACGACGGTTATCCCGCGACACTCAAAGGTAAGTTTCCGTGCGTTTTCTTGGAACCCTTCCCTCAGTACACTGCATTCCATCAAACTGCCTGCTCGCCGCGCGCACACTTTCATCCTTATAATTCCCTTCGCCTGCAAAAATCCCCTCATGAGTAAACGCAGCGCCCGTTTCCTCTGCCTTCATGACATTTCGGTACGTACAGTCCGTCTCTCAGTTCACTTTCCACTTCACAGCGTACACCCGCTGCATATGTGATCGGAAATGTGTCACATGCAGTGGAAGCCCTCCGTTTGTATGTCACCGACATTAGCCACCGGTCCTCCGAAATCGCTGTAATCCGCAACCGTCACGGGTAAGTTTCCGCCGCTTATCTTCCCATCTTTTCCTCAGTAGACCTCAGTGCCCTGCACTGCGTGTTCCCCGCTTGGTCACAGCCATCCATAGAATTCATAGACTTCATTTCAATTGATTGCTTGTTCGCCGCCTGCCCACCGCCATGGAAAGGATTCCGCACCCGTGCAACCGATAGCCCAACGGTTACCGATGCGCCTTTCTCCTCCACCTACATGAATTTACGGTACGTACATGCGGGTTCTCAATTTACCTCCCATTTTACAGCGTACCCCCGTTCTACCTTGATTCGGGAAACGGTCATATACGGCATTCCTCCTCCGTTGGTATGTGAGTAACGTAAAGCAAGTGCACTCCGCAATTCCAATATATATATATATATATATTTACCTACACCCTAGGCTGGCTTGCCGAACAACCTCCTCGTGGTGCCAGCTGGGTGGTTCGGGATTTTCCCCTTCCAGCAAATGGTTCGGCGGCAGTGTTCCAGGACGTGGTGGGTTTTCGCCTGGCAAGCGTTCTCCCTATAAAAAGCCACATATGTCCGTTTAACAACACTGTGACGTGGCGGACGTGACTCGCCACTAAATAAAGTCACTGCCCCTTGCTTCATCCTGGCGAAGCATTGTATTCCAGCAAGTTTATGCTGTAATTCTGGGGAGCATTGGGCCCCTGTTTGACAAAGGAACAAACGAAAGGCGTATGAACTGAGCAATCAGTCACCGGCTCCCAATGGGCGCGATTCCCTGAATTCGCTCCGCTGCCTTGCGGACAGGCTATTCAGCCAAAGGCTCGGGGTGGTGTCCCCTAAGTCAACACCCTACTTCGGCTTGGGCAACCGGGTAGTATTTCGCCCTCTGAGGAAACCATGGACATTGTTGTGTTGTTTTTTATTTTACTGTTTCTGTACCTTCGTTTGAATCCCATGGTTTCTGATGGCATTATGTCTGTCAGCAGACTTTTGCAAAATATATATATATATATACCTACACCCTTACACATGTGTACACGCATATATAAATAACTTTCTACATAGATATACATATACAGCTAAATATATGGTTGGGAGTGTCCGTGTTCCCATTTGTCCGTCAATGTGGAAAACCGCAGGACGCAGGTACCTACAGTAATATATATATATATATATATATATCTATATATATATATATGTATGTATATATATATATATATATATATATATATATATATATATATGCATGTGTCCCATGCTGAGGCTGACGTTGCATTCTTGATGCATTTTCACCGCAGTTGGGCTAAACCAACGTACACTTAAACTAGGTCATTTTAAGCTGGATCCATTTGGTTCCACTTTATTCGGTTTGTTCTGCCTGCGTGATTAATGTTCTATTAACTGGCCACGTTGCTTACGCTAATTGCGCATATCTTCAGTAATTTTGTTGCGTTTGTAGCATTTTTAAGTAACCTGTGGACATTTCTTACTTATCGCGGATTCGCGGCAACTAACTTACCTCATATGCTAATTTAAGGAAGAGTTATGCCACCGTATCTGTATGCGTTATTGGATTTATTTTATTTCAGCTTGTCGTTTTAAGTGAATGGCTGTTGCTTGATATCCCCGGTGCGGCTGCGCTTGATGTGCATCTTGACAAAGTGCCTACCTGTCTGTTACTCGCTACTTTGTCCATACTGGCTCCAGGAGACGGTTGGTCGTTGCTGGAGGGGACGGGGTGCACGGTCCCTGTGGTCGTGCTAGGCGCAAAGAGCGGTTCCATGCACTCAGTGTGGAGCGGACTACCGTCCAGCCACCGCCTTGTGTGCGCTTGATTCCCCAAATACAGTGTGCTTGTGTTTGCCTGTGAAGGCGTGTGGGCCGGCTCCGTTGATGAAACGTGGCTCCCATCCACATGCTTCCCGGTCTTATTCTTTCGGGTTTACACTGGCTATGGGGTGTGTGGATGGAGCTGTGGGTGGTGCAAAGCAAGCCACCCGCAGTCCCTCTGTAGGCGCAGGCGTACTGTGGCTGGCCACAGTGACAGGCAAATCCGAAACCGGATCCCGCCAACCATATGCGTGTATACATATGTATATTTATACCATTACTCTCACTATAACAATTGAGAAAATGCTTATACATTTACATTCCCCCCAAATATTCACTCCTTATAACTCCCAAAGAACACATACATGCGTTACATATCAGCAAACTTGTTCTGCTTGATGAATTAATTACACCTTTCGATAGCACTTCACATTGCCATACTTATTTGACATTCCCACATCCCTTCCAACACATCCGTAAATATTCCCCTCATTGGAGCACATAACATTTCGACGGCATCATTCCTTTTAGCAATGAAACCTCGACAGCAACGCAAGTAGTGCATACTGGGTTTCTGTATTACCAGTTACACTGCTTTGGGGAGCTACCGCTGTCTCTTTCATCGTAATTTCAAGGAATACAACATATACAATAATTAGACAACAGATAAGAATGCCCATTATCCAAGGAAGTAAATTACTTTTAACAACTGCTTCATTCAACCATAGGCTTCGCGTGCATTATTCAGTTGCATTAACACGTATTTCCTCCATAACACATACGCTCACACTTCACCTCTATTTACCATTTGCCTGCTTTCGATTACGCCGTGACTTTCAACGACGCCTGAAGTCATCACTTTAATTTATCATAACCGTTTACAGGAATAACATCCATATACCATTACCTTCCATTTCCCACAATTTTATAAAAGCAGAATTAAGAATAGATCATTCAGTCCCTCAAACTAGCTTGGATGTCGCCGAGGACCACGGAAGAGAAACTCTTTCCCTCTATGACAAAATTAGCCCTTCCCCTCCTCACCTTCCGTTTTCCCTCACTAACATCTCCAACTCAAACTTCCATCCTTTAGCCTTCTAGAGGAAAACGCTTGTAATGTACCGGAAAACACGTCCCTTCAGTATTTTGCAACTCGGGATCATACCGTTGTTTAAACTTTCAAAACGCTCACTTGATTTAGGAACGGCACTTACATGGGTACAAATCATTTTGGTGGGTACCTCGCGACACCGTTTCTCCATCTGATTGTTTCGCTCCTGTTGTTGCCATCTGCACTATACACATTGATTTCCGTCGCTGCAACTTCTATGTGGTCCCGTATTTGACACGTCTCGTATGTGCGATACCTAACAACGGTTACCTTCTACAGTAAGGCACTACATAAGTTCAAGTTGCTTTTATAAATGTCGTCTTCTGGTGTAGTCGACCATCCCAAGGTTTGTTTAACCCCAGCAGAACATGATCCCTCAAGGTTGAACCGAAATAAGCGATGTAAAAGTAGTAACTTATTTTCGATGCACGAACGATTTATTTTCGCAGAGACAGACAAGAAACCTGACTTTGGACAAGTAAAGTGAAGTACGTGCTTGACTTGATTTTATTTTACTTTCCGAATTTTTATGAACATATAATTAACTTCACTTTTCCAACTTCTTTGCAAGCATGTTATTATAACTCCAGTCGGACGAATGTCAGTCGCAGTTATACATGACCGTAGGCATGTATGGTTGCCTATGCTCCAAGAAATTTGTACTTGTATGATGCTATCTCAAATGATTTCGTATCTGTAGCAGTAAATATTTATTATGTTTTCCATATCTCCTGATTTGATGTCTAATAGAGCACAGTTATTTTTAAGCTAGCGATCAATAACTAAATCCAGAATTTTGTTACAGGTTTGTAAACTAACTCTTTCCTTTGAAAGTCAGAGAGGTTTGGTGTTTTTTGTTTTGGAATACATTTATTTGCCAACCCTAGTCGCACTAGTAAATACTAGTCTAAACAATGCTTGAAATTAAGTGCGGATATCAGAAGGCAATTAAAGTCAGACGCAAAAGGCTGCATTCGATGGGGCTCTTAGAAGACGCTAACGGATGAAGCGAAACAGGAATAACCAGACAGCGCAAGAACTTACGTACGGTCAAGTGAGGAGCCGAGTGTAACAAAGGTTAAAACAGGAAAATTACCGTACAATTGATCAATACTGTAATAGCCGACAAAAATGCATTTATTAATTTGGGCGCTACAGAGCTCTTGCTCTAGATGCTTGAATATAGGATGCCTTCAAACTCGAAAATGATGGGTGCATCGGGGTTCATGGGCAAAATCATGCCGAGTAAGTCTGGGTGAGCGTTCGTGTCAATTAGGAGTTCGCAGAAAGTCGGCTTCCGCTGTACCGCTTCTTATTTGTTATTTATTAGTTACAAATAATTACGAATTTCGGCGAGCCGATGGAGTGAGCTTGCCAAACTTCAAAATAGTGTCTAGGCAAGAAAAAAGAACGACAGGACCTTAACCTCTGCTACTGCCTAGCGGTGCACTTAGAATTGGTCTCCCCCACCGCATGCTGCACCGCGCCAAAACTACCTTTATTTTAGAAAGAAACCACACTCGTCTCACGGAGAAGCGACCATCGTCTCTAGAAAAGAACGATCACTGTCCCACGAAGAAACGACCCTTGGCCCGCAAAGAAATTACCCGCGTCTTCGTTCGGCTCTTTGTTGGCTGCGGCGATCCTCAAAAACGTCGCTCGCGAGGGTCAATTGATCAAAGCGGAGGCTTAAGGCAGGTCTGGACAAAATCGAAAAACCCGCAGGACACGCCAGCAAGAACAAACTAATGTTCTGCATGCAAAATGGTGTAGGTATTTTGGGTATTAGCTTAGTTTACATAAGATTTTTCGGTCGCTCTTGGTTTTTTCATGATTTCCAACGGTAATCGACCAAAAACGTAGCTAATATTTACAAGTTTAAGAGTCTTGTCCCTGTATCTAATTGGAAAAGCGAACGGGCTTACGAATCTTTTGCCCACGACGATTGATCGTGAGAGGAGATCGGCTCACAGTAGACTAGGACGTCAGAAGGTCCCTAGCATGTGAATAAAAATTGCTACATGCTGCATATAGGCTGCACGATTTAACGGGGTGCCATTATTTGTAGCGTCACACGAAGCGTTTGACGTAGCCCTAGGCTCAGCGACCTCGTCGATGGAAGCTGGTTACAGGCGATCGATTGTGGCGACTTCGCTTTGGCCATCGCGGCCAAAAGTGTACGTCTTATTTGTACGATGGAGCTCTTTGAAAGTCCTATGTACGGTAGCTGAACAGGTTATCTAACACTGTCTGCGCGTAGAAAGACGTGTGAACACGTAGGCAGCTTCTCAGAGACGTGCACTGGTGTCTTCTGCGATCGTGGAATGGGCGGACGTAACTCATGCATCTGGTGAGCTAATCGGTCAGTGTAACTTCCGTAGTTAAAGGATTAAGTAAAAGTGGCTGGTTCCATTGGCTGTCCAAGCAAACACAGCGTGCAGCCATAGACTAGCTGCGCTGGTGTTGCGTCAGAGTCGGTTTTAACAGTGTGGCTTAAGGCTAGAAGGAAGAGAGGAAGTGTTTCAGACCACGAAGGAACAGCGTGCGCACTTGCACTGGCTTCAACTGGCGTTGAATACGCTCCACCATGCCGTTAGCGGTTGGATGATACACTGTGGTCCGAAAGTGGCGAAAGCCTAACTCTTTAAGCAACGGAGCAAAAGTCGACGAGAAATGCGACTTTTACTCGGTGGTCACGATGGTTGGACAGCCGAATTGAGCTACACAGCACTTCAGAAAATCTTATGCTGCCGTTTTCAAAAAGCGTGTAGGTAAAGCAAGAGGTTCCGGTCAACTAGTGAATCGATCGACACAGATCAATAGATATATAGAGCCTTTCGAAGGCAGCAGAGGACCTGTGAGATTGACGTGCGCGTGGTGAAAACGTACGTCTGGCGTCGGAATTGTTCCTACTAGGCTTTTTGTGTGCTTATGCACTTTCGCACATTGACCTAAAAGGCAAGCAGCTGCGCAAGTACGGACGTCACGGTTGACATTGTGCCAGACAAACCGTGTGTTTACGAGCTTAACCGATGCATGAACGTCTGGATGAGACAAGCAGTGTAAGTTGTCGAACACCGTCTGCCGAAACTCGCGTAAGACACCTGGGCGCGGCGTGCCCGGAGATAAATCGCAAAGTATAGTTCCGCTGGAGATCTCAGCTGAACGGGTCGTATGTCCGATGAGGGAGATCAAGGTAGTATAGCAAACTTAGGGTCATTGAATTGCGCTGCGGCCAAGGCTGCCGCGCCGATAGCAGTGTCGGCGTCAGCATAGATCGCTTGAATTCTGGAACGTAAATCGGCGACTGTGTTGTGCATACCGAAAACATGTCCTATATAGGTCGTACACTTAAAGGTATAAGCAATCTGTGGCTATTCACTAAAAAAGTATCGGTCGGTACTCGAGCCAAGCGAGTAAGTAAGCGTTTGTCTTTGGTGAAGGCGGCCTTCCAGAACACATCGGAAATGATGTATGAATAAATAACTAGTTAGTAATTTCGTTCCGAACGTACTGTAACGAGATTCGCCAGGTAGCATACGTTTAGAGAAAAATGACAACGGCTGCCAACCATCACTTACCTTTGTTATAAGACCGCCCCAACTGCCACGTCCGCAACGTTGATATTAAGCAACAGTTGGCTGCCGGGTCGTGATGCGCTACAAAAGCTATGTTGGCGATAGCTTCTTTCAAAACCCGGAAGGCGGTGTTTGTTGCAGCAGCAAAATCAATTTTCTCATGCTTCCCACGGAGAAGGTTCGTAAAGTGCTGCATAAGCGCAAAGCATCTAGGCATAAAATGGCAATAAAAGTTGACTAGGCCATCAAAACATTTCAATAGTTAAAAGATTGAGGCTCAAAGTGTTTAATAATGGCCTTTATTTTATTCCTTAGTGAAACAACGTCTGCAGCAGCGATATGATGCCGAGATAACTGATCAACTCAATGCCAAATAAAAACTTTTCTGAGTTGATTGTTACCCCGTGTTGAGATATACGACCAAACGGCTTTTGAAGGTGACGTAATTGCTCTTCACGTGAGGAGTTCTCTATTAAGATATGTCGAGGTAGGCATAAGCGAAGTTTAGGCCACGACAACCTTGGTCGATGAAGCACTGAAAAGGTTGTGAGGCATTCTTTAGACCAAGTGGCAGGCGCAGAAACTCAAAGAAACATAATGGAGTCGTAACGGCAGTTTTGGCGGACATGTCCGGTTCGGCTATCGGAATCTGGTTGTAAGCGCGCCAAGTCCAGTTTACCTAATACGTTGGTACCTGCCAGACTGGCGGTGAGGTCCACAATATATGGGATCGGATAGTAATCAAGCATGGCTAGGTTGTTCAGATATCGATAGCCGCCACAAGGATGCCAGTCACCCATAGTCTTTTCCCGAATAATGTGGAGTGGCGATGCCAATGGGTTGTGGGCTGGTCTTACGATACCAAGCTGAAGCATGTGATCGAATTCAACTCTTGCGGCATTCACTTTGTCGGAGGCGATTCGTCTTGGTCGGGTACTCGTTTTGCGTACCACGCGCGACTATGTAATGAGCGATCTCTGTCGTGACTAGCGGAACCTCTACAGTTGGCCACACCAGTCGAGCGTATTCAGACATTAGGTTTGCTTAATCTGAAGGTTGGTCGGCGATCTAGTAAACCGAACTGTTTATTGGGGCGTCCGGAAGAACACCTTCAACCTCTAGTTTAGTACGGTTGTCCAAAAGTCCGTGGCGACTAGCAACAAGGAGTAACCTGTAATGGCGGAAAATTTGATACTGCTGATTGCGAAGGGTAAAGATGCAACCTGAATACCCAATAAAAGCTCATGCGTTGACCGAAGTATGCTAACGGAGAACCGTTGGCCGCACGCAAGTTGTATGTAGGCTTTGAGTGCTTGTCGTTTGCGTTCGCAGTAATGACACTGACTTTAGCTTCCGCGTCGATGAAGAGCGTGATAGCAGGAGGTCGATCCTTAGCGTAAAACAAGCAACTTGTTTGGTTATTTGCGGATACGTTGGTAGTGTTTGTATGCGAAGCGTTCGCTTTACCTGAAGCGGCTGGGTATCGTTTAATGCAGGGAGCCCGACAACTTCTAGCGCTTCCATCATATTGGCGGTGATAACAACATAATTTTTGAACGGGTTTAGTATTGTTGGACTTAGAACCTACAGAAAAGATGCTGCGCATTTTTGTCGAACGAGTCGTACTCGGTGCAAGTACAGATGAGCCTCTATGAACGGTAGCCAAAATATAGTCTACATCTGACCGTAACATGTGTTTCTTTAAAGCCTTCAATGTTACTATCCTGCTGCAAAGTAGCGCACGTTTCTTTATTTAGGGTTAGGTCGACTTGATGACTTGGAGCAAATATTAGACAGTTTTCGTCGGTTGGAATACATCACCGAAGCTACTGGTCGTCTGCTCTGAAAGATATTTTAACGCAGCGTCTTCCCTTGTAGCTAATTATTTCAGAAGCCTATTCAACAACATG